GCAGAGTAGAGAAGCCTGCCTCTGGGCGACCGTGATGCTCACCTGATCTCCTCAAGAGGAGAACCTTCACCCCCTCCTTCCATCTCCAGGCTCGTCTTACCCTCCATCACAGACTGCCCCCGCCTCACACTCTAACCTGACCTGCCTTCATCCCACGTGTCACGGCCCTGCAGCCTCTGGAGCCTGGAGCACCTGGGGAAGGGTTGCAAGTGAGGCCCCTGGGTGGACAGAAGCAGCATCATGTGTTTACCCGTCGACATCTGAGCAGTCTTCCCTGATTGTGTGAGTGTTCCTGCCTCGAAATCTGTGCCATTCTCAGTGTCAATCAAGCTCTTTTAAGCAGCAGCTGCCACCGCCGTCGCCTCGCCGAGCGCTTTAGAAAGTCTTCTATTTAGAAACCGTTCCAGCCCCAGCGTGCATGCTCCCATCCATGCTAAGAGGCCCCGTAGCTGCGCAGAGAACTTTGTAGCTCGAGTCTTGCAGTAATGAAGAATGCAGGCAGAGAGAAGGGCGGCAGAGGAAAGGGAGAAGAACTTCCTTAGAAGAGACGTGTGTTCGCATGGATGTAGCCCCTCTCTCCCAAAGCTCCACAAACACAAACGCACCCAGGTGGTAGATTTGCCCAGGGACCCCAGGCCCTCCTGCAAGATATCCCTGCCATGGGGCTCAAGAGTAAGACCAGCACCTGGCCTGGCCTTGACCTGCAGATGGCAGATGAGGAGGGGATAGTCTGGCCAGAGGGCAGGCAGGGTGGGCTCTGGGCCACTGACCCCCGCTGTGCAGGCCCATCAGGCAGCTGTGCCTGCTTGACATCGTCTCAGGGTAACATCATTCCATTCGCCTTCTTCAACAACTCTGGACGCCTGTCCTCTTGGTAACTGAGCAGCATCTCCCCAACCCTTGTCATTGCTCTAGGGAATTGGAAACAGCAGCATTCGGGGAAGGAAGATGAGGCTTCTGACTCCTATAAAGATTTACGGTCTCAAAATCCCACAGGGGCCGTGCTCCCCTGTCCTCCGCGATCCTTGTGAGACAGAGTCCACTCGGTGGCAGCGAGTTTGGCTTGGTTTCCTAGAGATGTTAGCCCCCGGCCTGGGCTGGGTCTAGGGCTACACAGGCTCTGGTTGGGAGCTCATCTATGGACCTGACCCCTGTGGAAATCAAGGAGACCATGGCCATGCCTTTTGCCAGACTCAGAGAGCAGTAACCTGATGAAGGCATGGGACACACACACACACACACACACACACACACACACACACACGAGTTGCTTCGTTCAGCTGCCCCCTGCCTTGTTCCTCCACCTCCAGTCCCATTTCCTCCATACTGTTCCTCAGTTCACATCGCTCACCCTAGGACCCGTCTCAGATTTTGTTACTGACCTGTCAGAACTTCAGTGGCTCCCATGTTCAATGAGATGACTCTTCAGCCTGGCTTTTAAATACTCCCACCATCTTTAACTCCTTCCATGACCCACCCTAGAGCCCACCAGGCCTCTCCCCACTCTGAGATGGCCCTCCCACCCCCCCACCCCTGCTTCACAGCTCCCCACTCCCAAGTCCACATCTCTAATCCACCTCTTTCCCTCCAACTCAGCTGGAATACTTTCACCTCTGGGAAGTCCTCCTGAGCCACTCTGGCCTGCTCTATCTTGCTCCTTCCTTTAAGCCAGCGGTTCTCAACCTGTGGGTCGCAACCCCTTTGGGGGTTGATTGACCCTTTCACAGGGGTCGCCCAATTTAGCAAAATGACAGTGATGAAGTAGCAACAAAATAATATTATGGTTTGGGGTCACCACCACACGAGGAACTGTAGGAAAGGGTCGTGGCATGAGGCAGGTTGAGGACCACTGCTAAGCGCCCAAAGCACATTGTGTGCCCTGCTCAGGTTTTTAATTCCAACCTGACTCGACACTGGTTTATTCATACAGCCTCGCTCTGTTGGACAGTCAGCAACCCGCATGTGGTGTTCCCGTCTGATTTCTCTTAGTCCTACCAGACCTGATACACAAAGGTGACTCTTAGTCACCATTACGTCCGCTTCAACTCATGGGACCTTCTGTCTGACAGACCAATATGTTTCCTGGCCCATTTCTGCCCATGTGGTGGCTGTGTGCCGATCCATCTCACGAGGACTTCCCTCCTGGCTGCTGGCCCTCTACTTTGCCCAGTCTGCGGTCCTCTTCTCGTCCCTGCTCCCCAGGAGGTGTCCCAAGTGAGCAAGATGAGGCGAAGCCACCCCCAACTCGGAGGAGCAGTCTGGTTTTCTCCCCTGTAAGACTGACGGGGTGGTTCTTCTCACAGTCTGCCAGAGGTGCCAGATTCTCCTCCCCAGCGCTGCACTTCCAATGCTCGGGGTCTTCTTCCATCTTCTTCATTAATTGCCTAGAGTTGATGCGCAGGATAGAGCTCATTCAGTACATGCTTATTCGGAGCAATATGCACAGGCCCTAGGGCTCAGAGCTGGCCAGAGAAGGTGGGGGGGGTTCTAGGATCCCCTGACCCCCATTCACACCCATCCAGCACACCCAAGTCTCCAGAACAGGACTTGAGCATTCCCCTTCGGACACCCCTCCCACACGCACCCCATGGCCTATCCTAGTTCACATGGGAGTGTAGACCCCGTCACAGGGCGTATGGCCCTGGGGGTCCAGCATAACCAGTGTTTTCTTCTTCAGAACCAAACTAATCTAAGGTCTCTCATTTTGACCTTAAGACAAAAAAGGCAATTCATGGATGACTACATTTCTCAGGCTCCGCGGGGTCCCAGACAGGGGTCCTGGGTCATTCCGCTAGGGGCAGTCGGTCAGTAACATGTGGCTTGGATCAAAGGTTCCCTTCCATTTGCAGTTCTGCCTCCACAGGGGCCGTAAGTGTTCTCTGGCCAGGAACAGGCAGGCCAGCGTCTACACCCGACAGCTTCATCCAGGCTCATATGTTCCCGAGGCCCCGGTATGCCTCCCCTTGCTGACCAGAGCTCTGTGCCTCCCTGCACATCCCTGTGAGTGCACGTGCTTTTCCTGGTGTTTCTTTCATGGGAGCCTTTCCTTCCTACTTCCCACATTCTGCTTCCCGCGGCTCCGGAGCACTTTCTGCCCTGCTTTCCCTCCACAGGCAGCCTCCTCCTTCTGCCAGCATCCCTGTTTGCTGCCCCTGCTGCCCCACGCTGCCAACACTCTGTTGTTTGAGTTCCCACCGCTTTGTTTTTATTGTTGTTTTTCCAGCTTTTCCAAGGTTCCATTTGTAGACCATAGAATGTATCAGCTTTAAGGGTATTTTTCAGCAATTTCCACCATCTTCATGGACCTGTGCACCCAGCAGCACGATGCAGGTTAGAGCATCTCCCACACTCTGAAAAGAGCCTTTGTGCTGGTGTGCAGTCAGGCTCGGGCTCATTTCCCTTCCTTGGCAACCACTGATCTGCCTTCTTTCTGGAAAGAATTCCCTATTCTGGGCCTTTGCTATCAATGAATCATGCTCCATGAGGCCATTGGCTTCTGGCTTCTTCGACATGGCCTGCTGTTTCTGAGGGCCACCCAGGGCAACAGCCATGTCCCTGATCCACTCCTTTGTGTTGCTAAGCGGCGTGCCCTCCTCTGCCACACCACACCTTGCGCCTCCAGCCACCGGTTGATGCATATGGGTTATCACTTGGCCATCCAGTGATGTGATAACAGAAAAGCCACAGGCCTTCACGGATGCAAGTTCATTTCCACACAGTCCAGGAGGCTGGAAGTCTGAATCCAGGGCACCGGCTCTCTCAAGCAAGGTTCCCTCATTGCCCGCTCTGGGGGAAGGTTCTTGACTCTGAACTTCTGTATCCTTGGTGCTCCTCAGTTCCTTTTCAGCTCCTTGGCAGCCTTCATGTGACATCTATTCCACCACCCCCACCCCATCCAGGGGTGTTTCCTTTTGGGTGGAACCTGCTCTTTTTAATACACAGGTGTGATTAAGATTAGGGGCTCTCCTGGCAGGGATATGGCCTCATGAACATAACAAAAAACCCAGTGTCGAAATAGGATTCCAGACCCTTCGGGAGGACTCAATTCTGTCCATAACAAGTTCCCTCCCTGGGTGCACCGACACTAAACACTGGCCATACCGGTATCTGCCTTGAATCTCTGAAGAAAGGGGGGGAGGGCCTCAGAAAAGCTTCCCTTCACCGCAGGAAAGGGATAGTTGACAGTCTTTCAGGAGGAGAAATTTCTAGGAGCAAGCTAACTAAAGGTTTTTGCTTGTTTGTTTGTTTGTTTTTTCTGTTGGTCTCACTTGAAAACCTTCCCCGGCCCCCTACTCCAGGACTTGATCCCACGAGGCTATGAAAGAGATGGGGAGGAGCCATGTGTCATTGGGTTTGCTGTTAATGCTTTATGAGCCACTCTGGGCTGGTTGCAATCGGCCCCCAGGGTAAGATCCAACGTCTTTTAATATCTGACAAGCAGCCAGCCAGGGTAGCTGTACCGACTGCCTAGAGCAGATCCTAGACCAGATGTAGGAGGCCTAAGATCCTTGTGCGCCTGGGGTAATCCTTTGGTTGCTGGATAACTGGGAAGTCCAGTGGGCAACAGGGAGCAGCCAGGCTGCCTGCAGCCACAACGGAAGGCACCAAAGGAGACAAAATCATTTCTGTATTTTAATAACAACTTCAGTCCCATGAGTGAGCGCCAGTTGAATATCAAGCCTGCCAACTCACCCTCCACCCTGCAAACCTAGACATTGGACGTGGTCTTCTCATATCACTAGAGTCTGCCTTGGCCCCAGGCTGCAAACTCCACACTGGGTTGAAGGGCCTGGTGGTGGCCATGAATCAGCATGACACTCCAGAAAGTAAGTGCGCTCCCTCCCGGTGCAGAAGTCAAGGGAGATGTTCACCATGCTCATCCTGCTCTGAGATCAGGTAAGGATGCTAGCAGGCACGTGATGAGCAGTGTCATCAGCACTCGCTTCCTGGTCATGAACTCCCAGGCTGCTCCTCATCTGCACTCCTCTCGACACATACAGGTTCTGGCTGCAGATTCTCGCGTGGTGGGGGAAAGGAACCAGAGCCACCGTGGCGTTTGACAATATCTCCATCAGCCTTGACTGCTATCTCACCAGTGAGTTCACCCTGTCCCCTTTCGTCCCCGGCAGTTTTGTCCCCCAACCCAGACTCCTTGTGACCTCTCCATCCCTCCTTACCCTAAGCCACATCCACTATCCCTAGTGCTAACTCCTCTCTCTCCCTAAACCTGAGCCCCACCTAACTGAGACCACGGGTTCTCCTTCTCTATTCCAGTCAGCGGGGAAGACAAGAATGCAGCCCCCAAATCAAGAAATCTGTTTGAGAGAAACCCAAACAAGGAGCTGACCCCCTGGAGAAATCCACCGAGGGAGACCCCCATCTTTGACCCAACAGGTAAGGCTTCAACTCACAAGTTGGAGCTAAGTCATTTCCTAACACCGAAGGGAAAGGTGTGTTCTGAAATCCGGGTGGGGAGCAGTGTTTAAAGGCTGTAAGCGTAATTTTTAGGAGGGCGATTACCTACCCTCCAGCTAAGGGGCTCCATGAGCAACTATTTGGGTTCCTCTGGGCAAAGGAAGCTTCTGGAAGCTGCACTAAGAAGCCCGGCTCTTCCATGCCAGGGGAATATCCAGGCTCTAACATCAAGGGGCGAAGCAAGCTGGTATGCTTTCCTCAGCTCAGTTTCTCAAAACCCACTCCCCTGTCACTGAATAAAAGCAAACCTTCCTGGCCGATTTCCTTCCTGCAAAAACAGCTGGTTTTGAGGCCCAGGTTTTCCATTGCACAGAGGCTGGTAAAGCGCCCAAAGCTTCCGCTTCAACATCTGACCCCCCCAGAGCTTGGCTACTCTCCACAGTTATTCAACTCAGCCTATCTCAGGCTGAAAGCCTCCTAGGGACTTCTTGTTGTTTCCAACACGGGCCGCCTCAGCCTCTGGCCCTAGACCAGAGGGTTGAGTGCTCAGCCCCTCCATAGCAGGAGGGAG